GTCAGCTCCAAAACAGGGCACGTTCCTATGACTAGGGACTTCTACGTTGGACCTGTTCACGACGACATAATCCTAGGCATGCCGTAGGTGACCCAGTGGAAGGTGCAAATGCGTTCCTCTGATGATGCCATAGAGGTCACTCCGCCTGGAAGTGATGAGAGAGTGCACCTCTCAGCGCTCCCAACGGCATTTGCATCCTCTATGGTTCGAGGTGTGGAGATTGTGTCCGAAGAAAAAGGGAGCGACGAGGCTTCCCCACCGTGCAGAGGCACCGAAGAGAATAATGGAGGCACGCAAGCACTCCGTCATGATGGTCTGGCGAAGACCGCAGTTTTGCGGGAATCGATCCAGTTAACACCCGAGGAATGGCAGAAGTTGGCAAAATTGAAGGAAGAGTTCTCAGACGCACTCAATAGCAAAGAGGTACCGGCGAGCAGGTGTAGTACACTGACGCGCCTTTGCACCGCGTGCGCAACCTGTCTACACCCCGTTTGCGTCTGTTACGGAAGGGATATACGTAACTAACAGCAGAAACTAGCAGTAACGGCAATTTTGTGGACAAATATTAGAGGAAAAATGGAGATTCTCTAGTGAAAACCCTCTGACCGAGCCCCCGCCCCCTCGCGGGGCAAACGGTTGTTAGATCCCAGAACCGCAAGGGGATGCCGGCGTAGGGGCCGCGGCACTGTCACCGGCCGCCTACTATAATGACTCCGACTCTATGGGGGAGTCGACTTACCTCGACTTCCATTTTCGCTCTACAGTTTGATTAACTTAATTCTAATCCTTTATACGAAATTATAGATTCCCTATCCTTTTTGTCCACTAGTCGTCTTCGACTGCACATTGTAGTGCCAGTGCACTACAGCAGGCCACCCGCTGGACGCTCTATGCACCGCATCGAACTCGTCCCCGCTCAGCCCCAAGCTTTGTTCCACGGTACAGACGACCCCCTCACCTGGAAGAGGAAATTGAGCGGCAGGGCAAGGTTCAGCCGTCAACTAGCGCCTTTGGGCACAATCGCGTGCTGGCGAAGAAAAAGGACGGCAGGTGGCGCATGTGCGTCGACTTCAAGCACCTCAACAAGATTACAGTGAAACAGAAGTTTCCGATGCCCAGGGTGGACGAAATCCTCGACCGCCTACAGGGTTCGGCGGTATACTCAGCATTTGACTTCGCCGAGGCCTTTTTGCATATCTCTATTCACCCGGAGGATAGGCACAAGACGGCGTTCCATAGCCGCACTCGCAACCTGGAGTATACTTGTATGCCCTGTGCCCTCGTGAATGCACCCGCCTAACTGCAGCTGTAGGGCCATTACCACTTGCTGAGGCCGATCAACAAGGCCTGAATGCTGATATACATGGACGATGTGCTTGCATTCAGCTGAAATGTGCAGGAGCACCTGCAGCACCTCCGGCGGGCGCTGCAGCTACTACGTGAGAAGCAGTGGTTCGTGAAAGCACAGAAGTGTTCGTTTTTCATGCAAACAATCAGTTTCTTAGGATTCGTGTCTCTGCAGCAGGGGTTGAACCAGATCCGGCTAAGATCGAGGCAATTCAGAGGTGGCCGCTACCGCTGTACACGCGGACGGACGTTCAGAAGTTCGTCAGGCTCGCCTCATACTGTCGCAATTTCATTCCTGGGTTCGCTCGCATTGCTGCCCCTCTAACTGATCTCCTCAAGAAGGAGAAGCAGTTTATTTGGACGGAGAACGAGGATGAAGCCGCCCGACGCCTCATCGGACACATGACATCATCCCCAGTACTCGCGCTCCTTGATTTTGATAAACCCTTTTTCCTTACGACCGATGCCAGTGACACCGCAGTCGCGGTTATGCTCTCTCAGCAGGCTATTGGTTCGAAAAAGCATCAAAAGTATCCGGTCAGGGAAAAGGAGCTTTACGCGGTCTGGTGGGGCGTTAAAAAGTGCCGACACTACC